TCATGGATGCAAGTGTTATGATGGGTGGCAATGGAATATCTTGGGTAGGTAGCCTGGAATTAGCTTCCTGATTTATATCAGTTGTGTGTCACACAGTGCCCTTGAGTGGTTCAAAGCATCTCAAATTTTCCGCGTGGTGGATCGCAACAAGAGAAAAAGGAGCTACAGATTGACTTCTTCTCATATACAGAAGCTAGTATACAAACTTATCTGAGCCTTTCATATTTGACAAGACTTAAAGTTAGAGATAATATAAAAATTAAGCGTTTAACTAATTTCAACACCAATTTTAGGCAACGGACTACATAGTGTCAGCTTTTGAACAACTGACCGTGGGCCAAGCAGAAATGTACCAAACTCGATTAGGAGTCATTAGTTATGCTGATAGTGTCAATCTGATCGCTGATCTCGACAAATACACTTCAACGGACGACCTACTTGATCTGGAAATTCATCCGCTGAACGAGACTGGTACAAACCTTGACGGGTAAGTGAAGTTCTTCTAGAAAGGGAATGTCAACAGAGCAGAAACTTATATGTGTAGTGTGAAGTAAGGCTGCTCACATATAGATACCCATTTCTTAGCAGAGCTTATAAAGTAACCAAAAATCTACTCAGAAACATTTCCGCCAGTAAGCTGTCATCACGAGTAGCTCCGATAAGAATGGTTTCTGAAAAGTGGTGCAGAAAATTTGCAATAAACAAAAATTAATTACCTCAACTCTCGGCCAGTACTGCTCTCGAATGCTCACTTCGAACCGCATCTTGTATCACACTGAACTGATCTTCAATTGCTTGGTATATGCACCTGCACCCTCAATCTTCGATAGTTGAGAAAGCTTGGGACTACGGAATTGCTCTCCTCTCCGTGGAACGCATATTCGTAGTGAGCAGGGTAAGCCTTCATCCTGAATCCTTCACGACGTCCAACATAACTAGCAGAAATGCTACTCAAATCGAAGAAATCAACGTCTCTTCATTTTGTACTCCCAACAGACCTAACTGAGCCTCATAAACGGCGGATAACTGTTCATGTCGAATACTTTTCGGAAATCATCCTTATCTACGTGACTGCTTTTTAATCACATTTAAGCTCCGCTATTCTATGGAGAATGGCTCGAGTGAACACTAGTACAAGGGTGCAGTTGTGAAACGCCATGTGGATAGATTTCCAATAACGCAAAAAAAACTTGGGGTAGCTAACATTTCTGATGCTAATAGTGAGAACCTTGCATTCCAGAAATAAGGTACGAAGATAG